AGTGTATACAAACGCACTGTGTATATACACCCCAGCATAAAGAAAAACAAACAAAACAGAAACAAAAAAAAATAAGAAAATAAATAAAAAAGTAAAAACAAACAAACAAAATAATTAAAGATATAAAACAAACAAACAAAGAAACAGAGAAAGAAACAGAGAAAAAAACGAAAAAATATAAAGGATATATAAACCACAAAACAAACAAAAATAGATTTAAATAAAACAACAAAAACAAACAACAACAAAAAAACAACAAAACATATACGCATGCACAGATGCATGCAGCAGCTCATCAGCTGCAGCGAGAAGAAGCAAGAAGCTCTGCTGCTGCTGCTGCTGCTGCTGCTGCTGCTGCTGCTGCTTGTGCTGCTGCTGCTGCTGCTGCTGCTGCTATTCTATTTCAGCATCCAGCTCCATGCATGCAGCAGCCACAGAAACAAGAACACCTTTCCTTTCTTGTTTCTGCTGCTGCTGCTGCTGCTGCTGTAGCTGCTGCTGCTGCTGCTGCTGCAGCTGCTGCTGCTGTAGCTGCTGCTGTGTCTGGATTTCACTGCTGTTGCTGTTGGAGTTTCTGCTGCAGCAGCAGCACAACCACCCGTTTGAGCAGCAGCAGCAGAACCACGACCATCACCATCACCATCATCATCATCATCAGCAGCAGCAGCAGCAGCAGCATACTCATAACCAGGTGTATAAAGAGTAAATATTATATTAATTTAATTAAATTTATATTTACTTGTGATGGAGTCTGTCCTTTTCTCGCCAATTTAACTATATGGTCCTCTACCTCTTGGGGTTTAACCCTCAACCATGTTGGTGGTTTTCTCTTAAAGGGGGGGGCGGGGGCGCTCATCCCCTTCCCGTTTCCGTACATTCTGCCCATTTTCGCGTTTATTTTATTAATATTTATTTAAAAATAAATAAATATGCAAAAAAAACGCAAAAATTCATACAGAAACCAACAAAATACATACACACTAACACCCGCTGCTGCTGCTGCGCGGGGAGCTGCCTATACACCCCACAGCAGCAGCATGCAGCCCCGTTGCTGCTGCTGCTGCTGCTGCTGCTGCTGCTGCTGTTGCTGCTGCTGCTGTTGCTCTTTTTCTTTCTTTTTTCCACTAATATATTTTATTTATATTATATTTTATTATTAAATATTTTTTTTTTCGTTTTTTATGGATTTAAAACCCCTACAGCAACACACAGAGCAGCCGCCCGCTAGCAGCAGGCAGGACCTCCCTATACACCGCAACTCTCTCCTTCTTCTGTTGATATATAAACGCCCAAATTAATTTTTATATATTTACAGATACCTGAACAGCTAGCTGTTTAGTTACGTGTATGGCTAACTGCGTAGATAGCTGCATCTATATATATATATATATATATATATATATATATATATATATATATATATATATATATATATATATATGTTCTACGGCAGGACTAACAGCAGCAACTGCAGCAGCAACTGAAACAGCAGCAACAGTAGAAACAACAGCAACAGCAGCAGCAGCAGCAACAGCAGCAGCAGCAGCAGCAGCAGCTGCTGCTGCTCCTGTTTGAGGGCCTGCTGCAGCAAAAGTCTCTTTCTT